TGGGGCAGCCAGAGCACGGTGCTGGCCTGCGGCATACCTTCTCTCAGGATTGGGAGAAGGGGGACCCTCCAGACAGGCCTCCCAGCCCTCCTGGGAGTCTGACCCTCCATGCCAGCACCCCATCCCCACCCTCAACAGCCCTGCCCAGTGGGGCGTGGAGGTATGACACCCAGGATCCTTACAGAGATCTGGGGGGGGGGGGGGCGCATCTCCAGACACCCAGGCGGCCCTGTGGAGAGGGGAGGCCTGGCTTTGGTCAGCAGGTGCCCCTGGCCCAGCAGCCCAGGATGGGCAGCAGTGGTGCCGCTGGCTCTCTTGGTGCTGGTCCTTGCCCTGCAGGCTTTGTGTGGCCATGGCCCAGAAGCTGCCAGCTGGGGCAGGGAGCCACCCTCCTGGGACTGGAGTTGGAGGCCTGTCCCTCCAGCATCTAATAAAAACTCTGAACCACAGTTTGCGCATCTGCATCCGTGGGCGAGCTGGTGGGTGGGCAGGCTGGTGTGGGGGTCTTGTGTCCATAAGACCTCTTTGCCCAACCGGGTCAGAGGTGAAAGAAGAGTCCAAGGCTGGAGCTTTCTGGATACTTTACTGACCTTGGCCAGAGTAGACATCACAGTGAGGCGCCCCCTCCCCCCCATGGGCCCTGGGTAGGAGGGCTGCTCGTGCAATAGGTGGGCTCAGGCCTTATTGCTGCTGGGCTGGAAGTGGCCCACCCCAAGGGCCCCCAACTCCCTTGCTTGGGGACACACACACGCCCCATGCACATGCTCCCGTGTGCAGACGGTGCAGGTGCCAGCCTGCCAGACCCTCCCTTGAGGGGCTCGTCTCTGCATCCTGGCCCTGAGCTTGCAGACAGACAACAGACCCAAGCTGGACAGACTGACACGATGCACAGGAAACACCGGCTGGTTTTATATGACACATAATCCCAGACCAGGTGCAAATAAGATCCCAGGCAGGTGGCTCTGACCATTAGCCCAGATGACCAGCCAGGTTCACCCTACCCTCCCACTCAGGACCCGCCCCCCAACCCCCAGCACCTTTGGGGCAGAGCTGCATGACCTCCCAGTGCCCTGGTCTGCTCTGGCATCCACCCTGCTGGGATGCTGGGACTCTGCCTCCCAACCCAGCGCCCTTCCCCACTGGCTCTCACCCTACACCCCCTTTATAAAAAGAAAGGGCTCAGCACCTGCTGCTGGAGACGCCCAGCCCCCAGGCTCAGCTGCCTGACGCCACCGTGGCCTCCGGCCACTGTCCAGTCCTGCAGGGCCACGGCGCCGCAAAGGTCCCTGTTACATCTGTACAGTGGCCAGCGGCAAGTCCTGCGGGTGGCTCAGAGGTGCCGTGGGCTGGGGTGGCCGTTGTGATACAGTTTCTGCTTCACGTGCACCATGTTCCCTGTAGCCTCTTCAAAGGGCCTGTGTGGCCGCCGGCCCAGCTCCCGCAGGCTGCAAAACTTGGGCAGCCAGGTCCACGAGCCATCTGTGGGGACAGGGCTCCATCAGGCCAGGGGTTGCGGTGGCTTGGTGGCCAAGCAGGATGGGGTGTATGGGACGGGGAGGCTGGGCGGGGATAAAGAGGTGGGTGGCTGTGTGAGCCGTAGAGGCAGCTGGGTAGCCATCAAACGGGGGCTGGCATAGCCAACAGTGGACCAGGCTGAGATCGTCAGGGGGCGGTGGGAAGGAAGGGCAGCCGCAGGCTGGCTGGCAGCACAGGCCTGGGCAGGGGCCGAGCCGGTGATGGGGAATGGGCACCGGCACTTACCATAGCGCCGGCCGGCCCTCCAGGCACGCACGGCGCAGTGCAAAACACCGTCCACCCACACGAGGAACCAGCTGATGCAAAAGCCGAGCAGCAGCCCCAGCATGAGGTCGATCTCCTGCTTGGTCACATTGTCCGTCACAAAGTAGTTCTCCGTGGCGTCCACCACCGACTGGTCCCCATCGTACGGGATCACGTAGTGCACGTGGTGCCTGGGGGCGGCAGGTGGGCTGGCACCTCTCCCGCCCCCGCCAGCTCCCGAGAGGCCATGTCCGCTGTGGGTGGGAACCCTCCGCCTTGGCCTGCTTGGCGCTGTGTCCCGGGGCCCCACCATGCCCAAGTTTAGTTGGTGGGCAACGGCCTGGGGGCAGGCAGATGCTACCTGAGAGGGTAGGCCCCAGCTTGGCCGCTCAGCTGTGGGCCCTGGTCCCCCTGCTGACCGGGGCGACCTGGCTCGTCCCTTTCTTTGCTGCTTTGCCTCCTGAAGGCAGGCTCGGCCTTGACCATCTGCTGACCTGGACAACTCCAATGGCTGCCTTCCTAACCCTAGCTCCCCACAGGCTCCGAGTGCCCCACGCTGGGCCGCTCCTGTTCAGTCCTGGCTAGATGCCATCTCCTCCAGGAAGCCCTCTGGACCCTCCACCTCCAGCCCACATGTGGGGGCTGGCCTGGGCATGACCCATGCACCCATGCGCCTGGCACCCGAGGTGTTCGCATTCCCTGCACTGTTGACCTGGCCACCTGCCCTCTCCTCTGGCCTCTTCCCACCTGGGCAGTCTTCTCGCCTCACTCTGTCCCTTACCCATCCACACAGCACCCCATCCACCCAGGCCCCCACCCCCACATCCGCCTCTGCCTGAGCTCCACGGCCGACTCCATGTGGGGGCTCACAGACAACTCCAACTCATTCCTAAAAATAGTTCCTCCCTCCCAAGCCTGCTTCTCTAGAATCTTCCCTTAATTAATGGCTGTTCCACGCTGGCCTCAAGCAAGACCCTCCTGTGGGGCTGGCCTTCCCCCGCCAAGCTTCACTCCCTCCAGTGAGCCCAAGATGCCTCTGTCTAAGGCCTTCCTCACCCTGGGGCCTGTTTGCAGCATCTTTGGGGGCCATGTAGGAACGCCCTCCCTGGGAAAGCAAGGGGTCTCCAAACCCCAAGTCAAGTCCAGCAGTCATGGGGCAGCTTTGGGCCCAGATGCTCAGGGGTACAGAGTCCCAAGACGAAAATGAGCCCACTGACCCCTGGCCTGCTATTCTTGCCAGGGGCCTGGGAAGCCAACAGCCGAGCACACCTGGGAGGGTGGGGGCCAGGCAGGTAGGCATCAGCCACGACTGCCCCTGAACAAGGGCCTGGCCCGCTAGCCTGATGGGGGAACTGATACGGGCTGTCAGTGTGGCTCCGGCAGCCATGCTCACCTGACCACTAATTGGTCAGCAGGTCGCCAGTGCTTAGTAACTGGTGGGCAACTACTGACACTGCACAGGGGGTGGGTCCTGTTAGCTCTTCAGCATCGAGTCCGTGGCAGGGGCTGGCAGCCAGCAATCTAGTGTCATCATCAT